GAGACGTGGGCGGGGGGGCTGCGGGTCCAGCCCCGGGGAAAGGGGCTTCGCTGTCGGACCCCCCCACTCACCTGCCCCGGCTGTTCCCCGCGGCTGCAAGGCAAGGGGGGGCGTGAGCGGCCCTGGGGTCCTCGGGACCCCTGAGACCCCCGGGACCCTGAGTCAAGGGCCCCGGGGCTCAGCCCTGCACACCCAGGAGGGAGCGGGGACCCCGGGACCCCCAGGACCCTGAGCTGGTGGTACCAGGGACTCGGATGAGACAGGCAGACATGGGCTGCAAGCAGGAAGACCCCCCTAAGGCACCCCAAGACCCCTCAGGACCCCCAGGACCCCAAGCCAAGAGCCCCGGGGCTCAGCCCTGCATGCCCAGGAAGGAGGGGAGACCCCCAAGACCCCCCAGGACCCCAACATGGCAGTACAAGAGACTCAGCCCTGCACACCCAGATGAGAGGAGGAGACATGGGCTGCAGGCAGGGAGGGCCCCCAAGACCCCCCAGGATCCCCCAAAATCCCTCAGGACCCCTGGGATCCCGAACCAAGGGCACTGGGAGCTCAGCCCCAGCCAAGACAGATGATGTGGGGTGCAGCCCCATTGTCCTCCCTCAGCTGCTGTGGGGGGCTTTCACCCCACCTGAGAACACCAACTCGGCCCCCAGCCCCCCGGTGTGGGCCACCCACCCGCACGGTGCCGGCGCCGGAGGTGCCAGGCCATGGCAGCACCGAGCAGGAGCAGGAGCAGGAGGGACACGCTGAGCCCCACAGCCACGTCTGGGGACAGAGCGGGGACGAGCCGGTGTCAGTGTGCACCCCAGGGGGCTGGACCCCCACAGGAACCCCGGGGAGGGGGTGGATGAGTGTCGCCCCCACCTGTGTCCCGTCGCTGCCATCGCCGTCCCGGCTGCATCACCGAGAGGGCCAGCGCCGGGCTGAGCACCCGGAAGATGCGGTGGGTGCCAAGGCGGTTGGTGGCCAGGCACTGGTAGGTCCCGGTGTGCGCTGGCTCCACGGCCTCCAGGGACAGGACAGGCCCCGAGCCCAGCTCCTGCCCATCCCGCAGCCAGGTGAAGGTCACGGGTGCGGTGCCCGCCCGCACCGAGCAGCTCAGGTTGAGGCTCTCGCCCACCAGCACCGATGGCTCCATCCTTGCCATTGTGATCGTGGCACCTACCACCGGCACTGCCAGGCAGAGAGACAGTGCTGAGGTCAGAGCAGTGGTGGTGGCTGTCCCCCAGCATGGGATGAGGTGATGCTGTGGGTGGGGGACACCCAAAGCCGGAGGGTCCTGCTCACCCAGGACGGTGACCCACAGTGGCGGGCTGTTGGCTGCAGTGCCACCATTGGTGGCCGTGCAGTGGTAGCGGCCGCCGTCCTGGTGCTGCACGGCACGGAGCTCGTAGCGGGGGCCTGTGGCCAGCGGCGTGGCCAAGCCTTGCCGATGCCAGGAGAAGGAGAGGGGCCCCGTCCCCACGGCCACCAAGCAGCTCAGCACCAAGCGGTCGCCCTCCACCACCTGTCCCCTGGGGGGCTGTGCCACCAGGGACACCCCCGATACCGGGACCCCTGCGGGGAGGAGACGGGAAGGGACAGGGGACCCAGGCAGGGGTGGGGGGATCTGGGGAGGGATGGAGGGGGCCCCAGGGAGGGATGTGGAGACCTGGGGAGGGATGGAGGGACCCAGAGAGGGATGGAAGGAGCTGAGGAGGAATGTGGGGACCCAGGAAGGGGTAGGGGGACCTGGAGAGCATGGAGGGACAACAGGGAGGGATGGGGGGACCCCAGGGAGAGATGGGGGGACCCAGGCAGGGATGGGGGGACTCAGAGAGGGATAGAAGGACCCTGGGGGGGACGCAGGGACCTGGGGAGGGATGGAAAGACCCCAGGGAGGGACAGAAGGACCTAGTGAGGGATGTGCAGACCCAGGGAGGGATGGAGGGACCTGGGAAAGGATGGGGGGACCCAGGAAGGGATGGGGGGACTCAGGGAGGGATGGAGGGACCCCAGGGAGGGACAGAAGGACCTAGTGAGGGATGTGTGGACCCAGGGAGGGATGGAGGGACCTGGGAAAGGATGGGGGGACCCAGAGAGGGATGGAGGGATGTGGGAAGGGATGGGGGGACCCGGGGAGGGATGTGGAGATCTGGGGAGGGATGGGGGAATCCCAGGGAAGGATGGAGGGACCCAGGGAGGGCTCCAGGGCCCCAGTACATCCCCATCCCTCCTGCACACTCACTGCGCACCGTGACAGTGACCGGGGCGCTGTGTTTCCGCACGCTGGCCGTCTCCGTCTGCACCTCGCAGGAGTAGTTCCCCGAGTGCTGCAGCCCCACGGCCAGCAGCTGGAGCTGGGGGGAGCCCTGGGGCCCCCCCACCACTGCCTCGTCCCGGTAGAAGAGGTACTGGAGGCGGGTGAGGGGCCGCAGGGGGCTGAGGTGGCTGAGGCAGCTCAGGGCCAGGGGGGCTCCCTCGGGGGGCTCGGCCGGGCCCTCCAGGCGCAGCACTGGCACCGAGAAGAGCTCTGGGAAGGAGCCGGGGGGACAGTGACAGTGAGCCCGCTCGGGAGGGGGGGCTGCACCCCACCGTGTGGGTGCTGGGGAGCAGGCGCTCACCTTGCACCGTCACCAGTGTCGATCCCTCCCAGCTCAAGTAGTAGAGCAGGGTGGCCTGGCAGTGGTAGCGCCCGCTGTGGTGCAGCTGCAGGGGGGGCAGAAGCAGCTCAGCTCCCTGGGAGGGCCCCCCCAGCACCTCCTGCTCGTGGAAGAACTGCACCTTGGTGATCTTTGTGTTCTTCCAGGCCCGGCAGCGCAACGACACCATGTCCCCCTCCAGCAGTGCCTGCGCTGGCACCTGCAGCACCAGCCAGTCTGCAAGAGAGGGCCACGGCGGCCGGCACGTGGGGATGCAGCCGGTGGGCTCCCATTGCATGGGGATGCACCCAGTGATGCACAGGGATGCACTGGTGTGCACGGGGATGGGGTCCTGGTTGCACGAGGGGCAAGAGGCTGTGAAACAGAGCCCACCCAGAGCCCTTGGGGCACCCATCCCGCCCCTCACCATTTGAGAAGCTGACGGTGACGGCGGGGCTGAGTTCGGCACCGGGGATGCGGCACTGGTAGCTGCTGCTCCCAGGGCGGTCTTTGGAGACGTGGATATGGTCAGATTCTGACCGCCACCAGTACTGCTCATTGATGTACCAGTCGGTGGGGCCAGGCACGCCGGAGCCCCAGCAGGTCAGCGTCACCTTCTCATTGAGGAACACCGGCATCCAGGGGGGGTCTAGCGTGACCTGGCTGGGCTGGGCACCTGCAGGGTGACAGGGGACGCCAGCCTGCCGGGGCCACCATGGGTGTCTGGGGACAGCGGCATTGGGGACCGGCAACAAGGACTTACCAGTGAGGCCGAGGGCTTGGGCTGGAAGGGAGAAGGGGAGAGGGGCTGGGTGGGGGCTGCTGCCGCAGGGACACCAGCACCTGGGGGATGGGGTGCAGGGGCTGTCCCCATGATGCCACCACAGAGACACTGGCACCCATAGGAAAGGGCATGGGGACGGTCCCCAGGACAGCTGGGAAAGCCCAGGGGACGCGGCTGTGTCAGAGCCGCCCACGAGCCACATCTGTGTTGCACGGCCACCCCGGGCTGGTGCAGGGTGTGGGGACACCACAGCAACCCTGGGCTGGTGCAGGGTGTGGGGATGCTTCCACCAGCCCCATGGCACCCGCCCCCATGGCCCCATCCCCATGGCCCTGTCCCCATGGTCCCTTTCCCATGGCACCTCTCTCCTTGTCCCCATCCCCACAGCTGCCCCAGCCGCATGGTGCCAGTCCCCACATCCCTGTCCCCATGGCTCCATCCCCATGGCCCCGTCGTTGCCATGTCTCCAACCCCACAGCCCTGTCCCCATGTCCCCATCCCCACAGCCACCCCAGCTACATGGTGCCAGTCCCCACATCTCCATCCCTGTGATGCCTATCCCTCCAGCCCTGTCCCCACAGCCCCATCCCTGTGGCCACCCCAGCCCATGGCCCTGGGCACGCCAGGGGTACAACCCTGTGGGCTGGCTCTGCTGGTGTTTGGGACCTTGGGAGACCCCGCAGCCATGCTGTGCTCCTTCCCCACAGGCCGGCTGGTCCCACCGGGCTCTGTCTCAACCCGCTGCTCCCCAAAGCAAGGAGGGGTCTGGGCACCCATCCCCATGGCATCAGGCCCCCTGCCAGCCCCATGGCCCGTGCCCGGGCACTCACCCCAGAGGAGCAGCGCCGCACTCCTGGCCATCCTGGCACGCTGCTGCGTGCTGGTGGGGCCACCTGACATTTGCGTAGCGGCTATTTGGGGAAAGGGGAAGGAAGCGACTTCCGCGTCCCCGGGGCTTTGCCCCAGCCCCAGGGTACATGTGCCTGGTGGCACGTGGCGGGGATGCGTCGGACACCTGCGAGGGACGGGCTTGGGTATGGAGGAGCCGCCGGCCCCTTCACCCAGGAGGGTCCCTCTGGGCACCAGGACCCTCTAAGGACATGGGGCACGAGCAGCCCCATGGGTGTCCTGCACTCGTGAGAGGCTGAGAACCTGAGGGCTGGAACCCCGAGAGCTGAGACTCCAAGTGCTGGGACCCTGAGAGACTGGGACCCCAAGAGTTGGGACCCCAAGAGCTGGGACCCTGAGGGACTGGGACCCCAAGAGCTGGGACCCTGAGAGCTGGGACCCTGAGGGGCTGAAACCCCAGGGACTGGGATCCCCAAGCGGCTGGGACCCCGAGGGTTGGGACCCCAAGTGGCTGGGACCCTGAGAGCTGGCACCCCCAAGAGGCTGGGACCTCGAGGGCTGGGACCCCGTGGGCTGGGACCCCGAGAGCTGGGACCCAGGGACTGGGACGCCGAGAGGTGAGACCCCGAGCGCTGGGTCCCCCAAGGGGCTGGGACCCCGGGGACCGGGACCTCGCGGGCTGTCACGGCTCCCCGCTGCGTGGGCGGGGGGGTCCCGGCTCCCCGGCTCGCGGG